AAATGTATTTGCAAATAAGGATATTATATGGATAATTCTGATTGTTTTAAATGCTAACATCCATGTGGAACTTGTATTTCATAATAAATTTGTACATAATGCTTTGAAATCTAACATATTATACTTGAAAATGATTCTTGTATTTGTAAATAAGGATATTATTTCAATTAAAACTAATGTTTAAATTGTCATTTTAAATGTTAATCTTGTAATTCATATTATGAATGTACAAAATGTGATGAGAATAAAATATTATACAATTAAGATTGTATTTGTAATTCTGGGTATTTTTTAACTGAAAATTATGAATGTTTATCGTGTAATTCAATTTAAGGTAAAAGCATCGAAAATTGTAAATATAAAGATTGTACAGATAAACAATGGACATTTGGAGAAGGTTGCGATGATGGAAATTAGATAGAAAGAGATGGATGTACTAATTGTATAATAGATCCCCATTATAAATGTATAAATAACATACTGGAACCTTCAATTTGTTTTAAATGTAGTGATAATTGTAATTAATGTGATTATAATCATACAATAAATTCCACTATTTGTACTCAATGTTAATAAGGGTACTTTATTAAATAATCATTATGTATTAAATGTGCTCAATAATGTCTATAATGTATTAATACTGCATCTAATTGTACTTCATGCCGATTTAAATCAAATAATTAGGGTTAATGTTTAAAATGTGAAGATACTATAGGCTAATACTCTAATTATGAAACTAACACATGTTATACTAAATGTGGAATAAAGAGTATTGATGAAGAATGTGATGATGGAAATAAATTAAATGGAGATGGTTGTAATGATATGTGCAGATTAGAATAATAATTTATTTGTAAAGATTCAGTTTGTACATATATACTATTAATAAATATCTATATCAAACCTGACTTTCCAATTCCATCATTAAAACCATTAGGTGATCAATCTATATATAATAATTTTAGATTGTTTCAATTATCCTACAATATCCTCCTATAATAAAAAAATGATATAGATTTTAATAAGGATGTTGAAGTAATCATACTTAATGGTTAAGAAGAAATAAATATTAAATAATAATGTGACATAATTGAAAATATGAATATAGTTAATTCATCCAAATTAAACTTAACTGTTAATTTTTAGATATCTTTAAATTAAAGTATAAGTAATTAAGAACTCATAATTAATTTTACTAATCTTTCTAATTATCAATCGATTGAGGGTTAATCTATACTATCTATAATTATTATTATATTAATAATAATTATAGATAGTATTTCCCTTCAGACTTTCATACAAATTTTGATATTTCAAGTCTTTTTTAAGATTAATCACTAAATTAAATAGTAATCTATCCTGATAGAAAATCCTATCTTTACAATATTGTTTACTCCAGGTCGAAAAGTAGTATTTGCCTTATCAAATTTAATTTAAAGTCGGATATTATTGTAAGTAAATTAATTTTAAAATATCTATACAAAGTATTTCAATTTACATAATAATTTAATAAATAAAATTTAATGTAAGTTAATAAGTAAATGAAAATTAACTTGGTATAGTGGAGAAACAAACTATTTTAGAATTTATAAATATGAAGAACATGCACATTAAAGTCATTCAAAATGGAGACTTAAATTGAAAAGTTTCAACAGATTTAATTCTATAAATAAATATATAAAAATACTTTTGTTCTAAATTTTACGCTTTATCGAAGTAAAAATGTTCTATACATTAAACCGCATCGTTACTGTTATCTTAAAAGTCAAGCATTTTAAATAATAGTTATTATGCCTTTTTGCCTTTAACATTTTTATAATCAATTGCAAATAAATTGTGTTTTGATAACCTAATTATTTATTATCGATTTAAGTTTCTATCAAACATAGGATTCCCTGTCAAGAGCACGTGAAATACTTAGGCTAAACTGTAAATATCACATTTCTCATAATAATGTTTTCCGTTTATAATTTCAGGATCAAAGTACCCTATAGTCCCACATTTCTCACATACCACATAAATAGCTTAGATTTTCTTTGAAAGCAGAAAATCCGAAATCGATGATTTTAATACATTTTTGATCATAAATGTCTTCTAACATTATATTATCCATTTTTATATCTCTGTGCATGATGCCAAGATTATGAATATGATTTAATCCAGATAAAATTTGTTTCATGATAGATTTCACTTTAATTTTACTCAAGTCACCTACATTAGAATTTACATGTTAATTTAAAGCTCCAGAATAATAAGGATATATAAGTATTATGTGATCATTTTCAAAATAATATTCGATCATACTTGCTACATTTTTGTGAGGAGACTATGAATTAATTTATTTAAAGTTCTCCCTCTATTAGAAAATGATTATTCTTTTGTATTTTAGCAACAAAGATTTATTAATTTTTCCTACTGCTACATTTATTGATCTTTAAATAATATAGATTTTGCATACCTCTCCATTTTATATTTATTTTATAGTATCAAGTCTTTAGTAATTGTTTGAAAAATTGGTTTACCCTACTTTTGTTCTCAATGCTTTGTTTTCTTATAATCCACTCTCTGAATCAATAAAAAATTTCTCGTGAAAATCTTGTTTGACTTCGTGAATTATTAACTAATATATTATTTTTTAATACTGTTTAATCAAAGTCATTTTTTGGATATCGTCTATATCAATGTTGTAAACCTTTTTGAATTATCTCTAATTTTATTAAAGAATTCAGTATACTTCGTATATTTTGATTCAACTATTCTATACTCGTAAAGTAGAAGTTTGAGAGGGTGTAATTAGACTAAATATATTACAACTAAATAAAAGTCTAAGTATTGAATACAACAAAAAAAGAATGTAGAGTATTTAAAATCAAAAATCGAATTGCATAGTTGATAAGCTGCATTACACTTTTATTGTTAATTCTAATTATTCGCATCCTCTCTTTATGATAGCTTCATTATTATTTATGCTATTTCTAATATTGGATTGATGATATTTAAGAGTTAGAAATATTTTTTATAACCAAGGATAAATTTTTAATAGGAACCTGAAATCAATTTAATTAGAGTTAATAAATATTAGATGAAAAAACTTAATTTAAAATTGTGATCTATTCTCAGTTTAATTTATGTTTTAAGAAATCATCCAAATATAAGAAATCCTT